TGGATTTTCATTTAAAATCTCTTTTACCAGACATAATGAGACCATGTCTGTTTTACACCGATAGATAGAAAAGCCCAGTGAGTATCATTCTCTGCTTCAAAAGGCTAATGTTACACAAGGGTCATACACTTTGGACTTCATGGGAGGTAGAAAGCATCTGACAGAATAGGAGGAAAAATGCTTTTCATGATTCTGCTTTCAGAAAAATGCTGCCTGTACTGCGGCACAGGCATCTTAAGGAATCCTCACTTGGACATATAGATATAAAAATGTACTTATAGGAAAAGTCAAAAAAAGGAATGATTTAACAATTTAATTTGGAATCTCACCTACGCCATGATAAGCAGCATATTCATATTATTGCATATTATTGTTTGACTAGATGGTATCCTAGACTTTTGTTTAGCAGATTGCTGGTATTATGTTTTGTTATTATCTTCAAATGAGATTTCCAGGGTGGGATTCCTCATATGACAATTTATGAAGCATCTACATTCTTTCAGTAATTTGAGTTTCATAATGCTATCCTACTTCACTTTCTGCCTGCATGCTGCTTCAATTAGATCAATTAGAAAGAATAATTAAGGATACTGGTTTGGAATCCGGTGCTGCAAGTATAACTAGTTCGGTAAAGAGAACTGTACAGGTAAACTGAGTCAATTATATATTTTCAGGTCCTCTATGAACTGTAAATGAATCTCGGAAAGCAACTTACTGAAGGTGACCTCAGAGTATTCACACCTTCATTTTCCCAGATATTTCATCAAGAACTTTTAAGTTCTAGATTGCTTTCTTATATTTCATTGCTTATAGGATCATAATTATGAGACTATAGATCTTAACAACACTAAAACAGAAAATCTCATTTGCTAATTACTCTTTTCTTGCAACAGCTGAGCTGTTCAACTGAGAGTCACCTTTTCATTAGTCATCTTTCCATTTGTTAGAGCTTAATCTGTTGTACTGATGTCTGAGTACTGTGAGAAGATAAAACATACCTTTCAGGAAACTGAGTAATTTGGGGTCTATTTCCAAAGATGGTGCTATTATGTACCCACTGCTTTCACTAATGGTTTCACTTTCTAAGCTTATTTCCTGCTGGAAGCTACTTTTTTGGCGTCATGCAGCCCATCACCTGAGTCATGTTCTTTCAGAAATTTTTATAGTCTTGGATATGGACTTAAAGATAAGCTAGAAACACCACCAACAAATAAGATCTAATCAGTATAATTTCTTTTAGCTGTGCCCTCAGCTTATTTACCTGAACGCTGTACAAGAGCAATCCAACAGCAAGGCAGTAGGTAAGTTAAATAGTGCTCTGACAAAGCAAGTAGAAGTTGCAGCTACTATTTTTAAGCTACTGAAGGAACTTTGGAATATATTGGTTAGTGTCTATCCTTTAAGAAAATTTTTACTCTGTAGAGATGATGAAGATACTACCATACTAAAAATGGGACAGACATCTACAAAATGTTGTAAAACATATCATAGAGAGGCTGACATGATAAACTTTCTTGGGGTATTCAGAGAGATCTTTTGATTTACTGGAACCTGTCACTGATGTTATTTACTTAATTTACAGTTCCATGTATACTTTCCACTTCCTTGATTTTGACACTAATGGGTGTCCCCTCCTCCTAGCCCCTTTGTTCTAAAGGAAAGAAAGTGGAAAAGACGCCCACAAATATTTTTGCCTTGATTCTTAGTATAACAGGTAATGAGAAGCTGAGAAAATTGGGCCTCTATAGCTACTTCATCTTGTTTCACAAACAGCCTATGAGTTTCCTAATAAAAAATAACTTTGCTTTGTCTATTTTATTTGTTTATTTTGAATTTTTTTGAGAAATATAATTTCTTTAATTCTTGAGGGGACAAAACCTGTATGTTAAGCAGTGCATCTGAAGGTAAGGTTCAGTCAGACCTTGCACAAATTCTGTAAGAAATTAAGGTAGGAAAATTTTCTTCTTATGAGGGAAAAAAAAATCAAACACTTGTTTCCTTTAGTTTACCTGTTACTGCACATGTACAGTATGTATCATACTTCTCAGGAATCTAACAAGCAGTTTAGCAGAGCTCTAAACTTATTTGTAAGCTCTCAAGTGACTCTGCAGTTCCAGCTGAAGATGGATACAAGGCAGCTAATTTGCTACCACCAAGGGAAAATGTTATAACATAAAAACATTCCCTCCCTTAGCTTCAAAACTGTTGAGCGCCTAGGGAGCCCAAGTATTTGTAGAGTTGATACTATGCATATGCTTCCACTGTAACTGCTACATGCACGCATCTGGCATCTGTCTCTGTGTTAAACAGTCTTAATTGTCTCTAGTTTAACTATATAAAAAAAACTCTAACCTAGGTTGCTAATACAGAAGGAATAAATTAAAAGGACGCGTGCAATTTTGTAGAATTATTTTTGCATTATTGGCAAGATTTGCAAAGAGCTCTGTGCTATGGCTAGCAGCAAAATATTTTACTTCTATCTCCTGAATATCTTTAAATAGAAATTGTGCTCTTTTCTTAGCATGACGTTTGACATTTCATATAGTCTCTTAATCAAACAGAGCTGTTTCCTCTAGAAATGTTTTAGATGAAACTGTGTTTCTCATTTTTGTTTCTCTTTTTTCCCTTGATTGTTGCTCCTCCCCCTTCATCCACATCAGACTTCAGGGCACCTAATTATTTGCCTGGCAAAGCAGGATCAATTCTGAAGATATATCATAAATGTTTTTAGGTGATATTAGGGGGAATTTTACATGTTAGTATATTATTCAGCTCACTGTTGCCAGAGAAGTCAAGACTCAGGCAGAGCATTTGATTTCAGTTTTCAAACATTTTGAAAAGATCAAAGATCATGGCAAATCCTGCTTTTCAGTTTGCATGCTCACACACAGAAAACAATGATACTCTAAAAGGTAGAGGTAGTTGCATAGAATAAAGGCCAGGATAAAAAAATTGAAGGACTTTTGAAATTATTTTAACATTTGTGTCAGTGTTCACATTTTAAAAAACTACAGCAAAGTAAAAAATGCTTTTAATTGGGTCAATGTACACAAGTGGGTTCTTCCTGGGGAATCTGCTGAGAATTCAACATCTAACACATCTCACAATAGAAAAAAAAGCCAAAAAGCAAAAAACATGAAATATACTTGAGATGTTTTTTTTGCTAAAATTTCTTTTTATG